GGTCGGTGGTGTCCATCCACGTGGTGTTATCGTGTATTTTGAGATTAGTTGTCATGATGGAGTGTGTATGTGTGTGAGTATGTTTGTTGAGGTGTTAGTCGATGAGTGTTTTGGTTTGTGGTTAGTTTGTGTAGAGCATAATGTATTGTGTTGTGGTGTAATGGAGTGACGGGTGTATCTGGGAGTTGGTGGTCATTGTGGATATGTGGATAGTGGTTTGTGTTGTGTGGGAAGTAGGTGGTGATTGATTGAGATAGTTGGTTTTCTGAAGGGTGTAATGAGGATTATTTTGTTTGAGTTTGTGCGATAGTCGTCGATGGAGGAGAGAGACATGGGGTTGGGTTTTTGTATCGACCTTTGGTATTGGTGGATGGACTAATTCGATTGTTGTTATTTATTTTGAGAGTGTATAGTATTGTGGTTGTGTAGGTTCGTGTGGATTGGTTTTGATTGAGTGATTGTGTATAGTTGGTGTTGTTGGTTGAATTGTGTGTGTGTGTGTTTGTGTTTGTGTTGTGATTGATGTAGTAGTGTTGGTTTTGGTATTGTTAGAGGGGATTGTGATGAGGAAGACGATGATGTTGATGTCCATAATCTAATGCCCACAGTGACTGTTCTGTGGGATTCGCTGATGGACTAAATGAATTGGATGACCGTTGAAGCGATTTTCATTTCGCGTGATGTATACGGTGTACATTGGATTTTCTGTTCTCGAGTGTGTATTTGATGTTGTTTTGAGTAGGTATAGTTGGCTTGTCTGTCTCTCTCTGTTTCACTGTGTGTGTGTGTGTGTGTGTTGGGGAGGGAGGGGAGTGATGGAGAAGGAGAGTTGTTTTATTTTTATTAGTGTCTGTATTGTTGTGGAGATGATTGTTTTGAGTGTAGTTTATTGATTAGTGTGGAATGATGAAGTTGTTATTTTGTATTAATGTGTGCATTGATATGTGAGTGAGTGAGTGTGTGAGAGTCTGTGTGTGTGTGTGTGTGTGAGGGTTGGGGCGTATGGAAGTATTGGTGGTGAGCACACTCCGGAAGTCTGGGTAATCGTTTATCTTTGACCAAACTGGGTAGTGCGAGATTGAGTATTCCATTGACCCCATGTACGGTCGGTGGTGTCCATCCACGTGGTGTTATCGTGTATTTTGAGATTAGTTGTCATGATGGAGTGTGTATGTGTGTGAGTATGTTTGTTGAGGTGTTAGTCGATGAGTGTTTTGGTTTGTGGTTAGTTTGTGTAGAGCATAATGTATTGTGTTGTGGTGTAATGGAGTGACGGGTGTATCTGGGAGTTGGTGGTCATTGTGGATATGTGGATAGTGGTTTGTGTTGTGTGGGAAGTAGGTGGTGATTGATTGAGATAGTTGGTTTTCTGAAGGGTGTAATGAGGATTATTTTGTTTGAGTTTGTGCGATAGTCGTCGATGGAGGGGAGAGACATGGGGTTGGGTTTTTGTATCGACCTTTGGTATTGGTGGATGGACTAATTCGATTGTTGTTATTTATTTTGAGAGTGTATAGTATTGTGGTTGTGTAGGTTCGTGTGGATTGGTTTTGATTGAGTGATTGTGTATAGTTGGTGTTGTTGGTTGAATTGTGTGTGTGTGTGTTGTGTTTGTGTTGTGATTGATGTAGTAGTGTTGGTTTTGGTATTGTTGGAGGGGATTGTGATGAGGAAGACGATGATGTTGATGTCCATAATCTAATGCCCACAGTGACTGTTCTGTGGGATTCGCTGATGGACTAAATGAATTGGATGACCGTTGAAGCGATTTTCATTTCGCGTGATGTATACGGTGTACATTGGATTTTCTGTTCTCGAGTGTGTATTTGATGTTGTTTTGAGTAGGTATAGTTGGCTTGTCTGTCTCTCTCTGTTTCACTGTGTGTGTGTGTGTGTGTGTTGGGGAGGGAGGGGAGTGATGGAGAAGGAGAGTTGTTTTATTTTTATTAGTGTCTGTATTGTTGTGGAGATGATTGTTTTGAGTGTAGTTTATTGATTAGTGTGGAATGATGAAGTTGTTATTTTGTATTAATGTGTGCATTGATATGTGAGTGAGTGAGTGTGTGAGAGTCTGTGTGTGTGTGTGTGTGAGGGTTGGGGCGTATGGAAGTATTGGTGGTGAGCACACTCCGGAAGTCTGGGTAATCGTTTATCTTTGACCAAACTGGGTAGTGCGAGATTGAGTATTCCATTGACCCCATGTACGGTCGGTGGTGTCCATCCACGTGGTGTTATCGTGTATTTTGAGATTAGTTGTCATGATGGAGTGTGTATGTGTGTGAGTATGTTTGTTGAGGTGTTAGTCGATGAGTGTTTTGGTTTGTGGTTAGTTTGTGTAGAGCATAATGTATTGTGTTGTGGTGTAATGGAGTGACGGGTGTATCTGGGAGTTGGTGGTCATTGTGGATATGTGGATAGTGGTTTGTGTTGTGTGGGAAGTAGGTGGTGAATAATTTAGAACGAATTACTCTATTTGGTGCGTTCCTTTATGATTATTCTGTGGTTTTTTTGGCCGTTTTTGTTTTCTGTATGTTATTTAGGATTTCGTTTTTGTGTTATATATATATATATATATATATGTATATACTAGGTATATTTTTATATGTTTATATGTGATTTGTTTAGACTTTGAATGCTCTTTGGAAACGTTTTTTGTATGTTGTTTTGGTGGGTTTTTTTCTGAGGTTTTCTTTCATGTTATTTTTCATTGTTTTATTTTCTCATGTTTATCTGTGTATAGTGTCTTTATATGTAGATTTCGGGTTGAGGAATTGTTTTCCTGTCTTTTTTCTGTGATATTTTTCTTGGATTTTTTTGGATATGTATTATATTTTGATTCGGTTATATTTTGTTATATGTCATGGTTATTTTGCGTTAACTAATGTGTTTGTGTTCTCTCTTTCCCTGTTATGTAGCTTCTTGTTTTTGTCTCTATCATACATTTGCTTTATGCTTGTTATTTATTCTGTCAGTGATTATATGATATTATTTTTGTAGGGGTTTTAAATTAGCTAATTTCTTATTGCAGAATTCTTCCTTAACCGGTTTTATTCCTGAAAGGTTGCGTTAATAAGAGGCTGTGCATTCGAAACTTACAAATCAAGCCGTGAAAATTAATCTGATACTCTCTGTGGACTTTTTAACTGGATAAAATTTCCTGGAGTTGTGGTGAGAATTCATGACCAGTGGGGGCTATCTTGGTGGGTGTGAGGATGGAATTCCCGTCGATCACATTTATTGTTCGCCGTCCTAGAAATCACGAATTGGTAGAAGTTAGAATTTGATGGGCCATTGAGACGGATCCCAGTGGCTGAACAGTCTACGAGTCTCCCTTGTCACTGGAAGGTCCTCTGTTTGACACCTAGTGAGTTTTCACTCATGATAAGTCCCAAACCAGGATGAAACGACTGGCTGTGTAGTACTACCTGGATTTCACTTGTTCTGTAACTGATATCAATCTGTGGTCAAACTGAAAAATGAATATATAAATATATATTTTTTTCCACTGACTTTATTTTTTCTTTAGAATGTGAATTTGTTTGTTTGTTGATTTTTGCAAAATAATTGTCCATCCAGTTTTATCATAGATTTTTGTAGGTATTTGCGGTAACCGCTATAACTTTTGTTGTGTCATTCGCTTACGACGAAAACTAATGTTCCTCTGGTGCGAAGTTGTGTAGGCCGCATATGATCGATGAAACTGTTTGAGGCATATTTAGAATGCTGAATTAATCACATTTTTGCCTTGGGTGGTGGTCCTTCTAGGCGAAGACGCTGACAAAATGCAGAGTCTTCTGAAAACCTTGAGCTGCAATCTACGAATGTTCGGCATGCGATTCGTTCCCACGAAATGTAAGATGATGTTACAGGATTGGACTATTCTGACTCCTAGTTTAGAAATAGGAAGTGAAGTGGTTGGTGGAGCACGTCGACCGCTTCACTTACTTGGGAAGTGCCATCAGCCAACGCTAAAGGGTTGATCTCTGACGAAATCTCACCACGGATACAGAGGGCTAGTTTCGCATATCCCAGTTTACGCCGTCTCTGGCATAGACTTGATATCCGTCTATCGACCAAAGGGCGTGTGTACTGCTCATCAGTCCGCTCCCTCCTCCTTTATGGCTGTGAGTGAGACCTGGCCATTGAGAGTGGAAGACATGAAAAGATTAGCTGTCTTCGATCATGGGTGCCTGCGTTCTATCTCCCGTGTGAAGTGGTATAGTAAGGTGAGCAATATTGAGGTTAGGCCTTGGTCGAGTGCTGGGTAGATGGGAGGGGAAATCAATAGACGAGGTTGTGAAATTACATCGACTGAGATGGTTAGAACATGTGTCACGCATGCACGCCTAGTCATCTTCTTCGACGGGAAATGTTAGCTGACACAGGGTCAGGCTGGAAAAGAGCTAGTGGCGGTCAAACCAAAACATGGCACCAGTCAATGAAATCCACAACAGTTAGTTCAAGCCACGTAGGAAGGTGTATACTTCCTGACTGGTTGGGGTCCTCGGGACGGTAAAAACCAATGGCTGGAGACAATTGGTGATATGGCTCAAAATCGTTCTCAATGGCTGGTGCAGATACATCCACTCCTTGTGACTTATGATTTCCAATGAAACTATATTGTTCTTCGTTATTACTATTCCTTTGTTTCGCACCTCTGTTTACTGTTTCTATTATGCATTTCTTCTCTTGCTTTGTGTGCTACATGGAGTGTGGCGGCTTGAACTGGTGCACATTGGTGCAAAGTTCTATGTCGAAAACAGACAGACAGACAAACAGATATGGGTTGTAGTATACAGAGCAGCCATGTTGTCTTGTCTGGTTTTCATCGTGTTCTTTTGTCGGTTACTTTTTTCTTCGTAATCTTCTTCTCCTTCTCGAATTTTCCATTTTAATCTACCTTCTTTTTTCACCTCATTTCTTAACTGGTTTTATTGAACAATATAGCATATCTTACTAAGTTTTCTTGTGTGCTTTCACCTTTTTTTCTCTCAATATAAGATGGTGCTAGACTCTTGTTGGTCTTCAATGCGTTTCAATGTTGGTGGGCACTTCAAGTTATATTACTCTTACTGGTCAAATGTTTCTAATGCAGGAGAGATTCAAATGAAAATTATTTCGAAACTGTATCCTGTTCTAGAGAATGTTTATGCTGTATTTATTGACAGTAAAGCTGTTGCTGATATGATTCAAGTAAGGTGTTTGAGTTGATTTTTCATTTCTTTTTTTGATTTATTCATAAGATTTTCTTTTTTGTTCCTTAACGTGCCTACTGGGACATAGAGCTTCAAGCTAGAGGATTGAAGTTTCAGTAGCAGTGGTGATTATTTTTACAGGACGGGGTTGCTAGCCTCATGCCCAACCCTTCATCTTTACCAGTCTTATTACTGGTTTAGTGAGGTAAAGGAGTTCGTCGGTGGCCGGTGATTGAACCGCGGACCACATGCATGTTTGGCGAGCGTTCTACCGCTGTGTCACTGACGCTATTTATAAGGTACGCTTATATTTCTGGAGTCAGATCTGAAAGATGTGCGTGAAGGTGGTGTAGATCTGCTACCTGGAGATAAACTTTTCGACCTCGAGTATGCAAACGATATCGTGTTACTGTGCGATTGCATGCAGGTTGCCCAAATCGCACTTAATCAGTTGGCGACCAGTGTCTGTAGTTATGGTATGTTCTTCGCACCATCTAAGTGCAAAGTACTGTTACAAGATTGGCAGGAGCCTGTACCTACAATCACTCTTGCGGGTGAACCGCTTGAAGTTGTTGGTAGGCTTGTGTATCTGGGTATTTGTGTAAGTGCTGGCGGATGGGTGACGGATGAGATTTCCAACCGTATAATGAAGGCTAGGGTGGCATACATCAACTTGAGTGACCTCTAGCGTCGTCGTGACGTTAGCCTGGCTATCGAAGGTCGGGTATAAAATACTTCGGTGTGGGCTGTCTTGCTCTACGCCTGTGAAACCTGGCCTGTTGAAGTAGGCTGAGGATTTGCAGCGGTTCTGTGTATTCGATCGTCGCTGTCTTCGCAGGATTACCTGCGTTCGATGGCATCATCGCGTGAGTAATTCTGATGTTTGGCGGCGTGTTTAAACACAGTGGAGATCACTATTCATTGAGTGTCATCATCTGGAAACACCGGCTTCTGTGGCTTGGACATGTCCTGCGAATGTCATCCCAGAGGCTTCTGTGCAGGTCTCTGTTCTCTAGCCTGGGATGGGATGGAAAAGGCGGAGAGGTGGGCAGTGCATGAAGTGGCATCGTAGGATGAAGGATGTTTGTGCCAGATTAGCTATCGGTTGGTGCGTCACGACTCCCTGGTTGGGGTCCGCTAGATAGCTCGAAATGATATCGGATATGGCTAAGAATCGTAATCAATAGCGAACGTGTTGCAGTTTCCTTCTCTTTTCCCTTCCCGATGATAGTTGACGAATACTGTTTGAACTTATTAGGTATGACTGTTTTCCTTCCAGATGAAGTTCTTTATCCGTTCTCTACTTATATGTTTTTGCTTTTGATCTATGTTGTTTTATTATTATTGTGTGGTGCATCTTTTTCGGTGCCATATTGTATCAAGTTTTTTCTGCGTTTAAATAAATAAATAAAATATTTTGTATGTTACAGTCTTATAGAGTAGACGATTGCAAAGCATTGCTGCTTTTTGCATGACTACAGTATGGCGAATGACTGTTCAAAAAATCCTTGAGCGACGAATCGGATGAGTCCATAGTGTAAACACGCTATTTGAATAGATGATTGTATAGAAATCAAATTAAGTAGTACAAGACATTTACGATGTAATTCACATGATTCATCCATGTTCGCGCTTTTTCCTCTGGAATCATCTGAATGGTTTTGCGAGGCCATTTAAATCGTTCGCGTGGATTGCTCTATTGCTGTTTTGCTCTAGTTTTTTTTTTACAATGGTGACTGACTTTGCGCACATTTTTATTAAACTACCGAAACAGACAATGAATGTCTTCTGTTCCACGCCTTCTATTTTTGTTCAGGTGTTCAACAACTTGAAAAAAGCTTTAGAACAGTCGTGCTATATCTTCTCTCTACTGTTTCGTGGAGGTAAACATTTGATGAGTTTTATTCATTGGGTGTTGGTTGACATCGGCTGAATTTTAAAGTTCGGGTATTTTGGGGAACTTTTCCCCTATCGATATGCTTACTTTAAGCTGCTAGTTTGTGTGTTCCTCAAGGTCTAAATGTGAAACACGATTTAAGGCTTTTTAAACTTTCATTAGCGATATTATTTTTTTTCCTACAGGATGATGGGGTTATTAGTCTCATATTCAGCCTTCTCTCTTTTCCAGACTTAGTTTACTATATGTAGGCTAGTAAACTATGAGAGGCCGGAAACCGGATAGGGACCATATGTTTCATTTTGAAGAATTTAATTTCCTTAAAATCAACTACATTATACTGTGGGTTTTGAAAAAAAATAATTTTATTAAAACATAAAGTCTGGTCCAAAGAGATGCGCCACACAAAATGTCATAGTTTGTGCGAGTACTAGGGTATTACGTGGACGTCCCGATTGAAGCTGTCAGTTGTTTTAAGTGGCCATCCCCTAAACTTTTGACTTGAAGTCTAATCCACAATATAGTGGGGCAGTGCCAGGAGCTACTTCTCTATAGTTTCCGGTGCCTTATAAAGGTTGATACTCCATTCAATCCTTTCGGATTCTGGAACCGATATACACCATTGCTTCCGATTCAGATTGTTCCAACTCTCTTAGGTAAACCTACGTAGTCATCGATTCGGTTGTAGGCTCCAGGTGTTCGCGTTCGTCTTTCCACTTATGGGAGAAAAATGCCCGCTGCAGTACTTACCTGGCAGAAGCTATGCACGCGTGGCTATATGAAAGCATTCCGATAGGTATACCGAAGCCTACCCATCCTCAGCCGTACCACTGTAACGACAGAAGACAAAGGTCAGGCAACAGGTCGCTTATTGAGAAAATCAAGAGGTATTTATAGATTTTTATGTACATTATTATTCGTTATTGTTAGCAGAGAGGCAGCGTCTTCTCATTGGTTGTTTTCTTGCTGAAGGATATTGTATCATCTCTTTGTGGCCGTTTATTAGAAAGTTAGGCCATATATCTGCGAATCGTATTTGCACATGTTAAGTCTGCTGTGATTGGTCAGTGAGTTCCTCAAGGCTAAGCTTTGTAACTGTTTTTTTTCTCATGACCCCAATTAAGGACGTAAACACTGACGTAAATTGTTGTTTAACAATTTTGGTTTGCAGATAGCTCTCACCACACCACATCGGTTTTCGTGTCTTAGGGAAATTTCAAGATAATATGAATATTTTAATAATGAAATGTATGGTTATTACTGGTGTTTTGTTAAATCATAAGTGATTTGTGCAATCCGTGAACTGATCACTATATTTTAATGTAATTAATTTTTATATTTTTAGATAGAAGCTGCTATCACACAAGCTTTAATGCATTACAGAGATGAATCTGCTGGTGGTATGCATACACGAGAGTTGACTTCAGAAATTCTCTATTGTTTAAGTCCAAATCGATCAATTAAACATGCTATGAATACATTTGGGATTCAAGCATCTACTAACAGTTTGATTGTATGTGTTCTCCATTCCTCTGATGCTTACCCAACAAATAATACAGTTCTACAAGAATATTTATGCCAAATTTCAAACATGATTCAAGGAACTATAAATACTGCTGATTTATTAAGAAAGTTAACAATGAACATTGATGTTGTTTGCCAGGAATATGGAATTAAAAGTGTAGAAAAAAATATGATCATTAAATCAGAAGATCCTAAAAGATCTTTACTTGAAAGTATATTAAGTCGGATGGCTTCAAAAGATCTATTCAGAGATTAAATGATGGAAACTGTAAAGAATTTACTTTAATTGTAAATGTATACTTATTCATGGCTGTTTCATATCACACTGTGAATGATAATAATAATAATAATATAAAGCTTTAATAATATTATTTTTAAATAATATAACTTTCTGATTTAATTCCAATGCATTTCATTTCCTTCTAGTCTTAACTAAGATTTTCGTACTGTATATAGTATCGCCTTCTTCACTAGTTCTCGTTACATTTGTGCATATAGTATGAAATTAAACTGTTGAAGATGTTGAATAGGAAATCGCAAGTTTAAGGTTTTTCACCACCGTCGGCGACCTAGCTGAACTTTATATTGATATTATTATTGTTATTCCCTTGGGTACCGGTTGGAACGTCTCCACTGTGCCCTATTCTATGTGGTCCTCTTCATCTGGCCTCGTGTTTGCTCATAGTCTCTCATGTCTTTCACACACGGTCTTCCCCGTGTCACCCTTGAACGCCCTACTTGTCGTTTCCACTCAATCGATTGCCTGGTGCATTATGTCATTCGATAGTCTGCTCAGCGTATGACCAATCCATCTGTATTTTCTCCTACATATTTGTTGAGCAATTAGTTCTTGGTTGGTCTGTTCCCAGAGTTCTGTGCTGCTAATTCTTTGTAGTCGGCCATTTGATCTTCACTATGGAGTCAGTGAATGCAGTTGTTGATAAAAGTCAGCCGTAGTCTGTTGGGAATAGTTTTCGTAACTCACAGTGCAAGTTTTTGACGCACATAGAGATGATCTGACTTAACATTAGTGTTGAAAATTTGAATTTTATTGTTTATGCTGGCCGAGTACACCAGATTTCCAAACTGATTTCAGAGTAATGGAGGTCTGCCTTACCTTTTCGATTGTGGTTTTGACATCCTCATTCGTGTAGTTGAAACCCTGCTGCCTAGATAAATGAAGGAAGTGACCTCTTTCAAATTTCTCCAATTTATAGCGATTGGTGCTTGTTATTGTTGTTATTGGTTGGTTACCTTCATCACCTACATCCGTCTTCTCTCTGTGTGTTCACCTAGAGTCCTGTTGTAACGACAAAAGCAAGAGTCAATCAACAGATCGTTTATTAAGGAAATCAACACGTATTTATATATATTTCATATACATTATTATAGCTTATTCAAGCAGACAAACACAGTCTTCTGATTGGTTGTTTCCTACACGAAGTTGACCTTGCATTTCTTTGTGGCTGTTATTTGGATGTCAGGTCATCTATATGTTAACTGTATCTGCCTACGCCAAGCCTGCTGTGATTGGTTGTTGAATCAGTCTTGTTCACATTTTCTCACGACCAATATTTGCGACATACCCATCGACGTAAAATTCTGTCTACCATTAGCGGCTAGCCTGCTCTCAACACACTGTCTTCGCTACCTGTCTCTTCAGTCAGTGTTGGTTTTCGCTTGAGTGTAACTTCAGTAACTTCAGTTCTGACTGGACATACTGAATCTGCCATACTTCACTTAGCACATACACATAGGGGAATAGAAGATTTCGAAGAAATATAATAAGCAGAAACATAGAAGAGAATTTAATGGATCTATGAGATGATAAAAAATAAATGCATGCTGCGCCACTGAAAACAGTTTTGTGCCATATCATCATCGGTGAGAGGATTCCTGTCTTACCTCTTTCAGATTTATATTTCTATTGATTAGTCTTCTATTGTATTTTTAAAATCAACCAGCTACAACAGTGTAATCATGGTGTATAACATACAAAAAGAAATTGTACTTGTGCATCGGTGGCACTGCGATTAGGATGCTCGCCGACCATGCACATTGTCCGGGGTTCGATCCCCAGCCAACGCACACCTGAAATCAATGGTTGGCATGCTTAATTTGGGTTACTGATATCATATGCTGAAAATTCCATACTTGTATCAAAAATCGATACTGTGTGGAGTCAAGCTATAATAAAATAAAAAATTAAAAGAGTTATTTAATTCAATTTTAGATTTTCCCATCAACTGATCGGACCGAAGTGCTCGGTTTCAGATTGTCATGTCGGCTTCTTGTGCAGGTGCTTCGACAATGTCTGGGCATCATTACCACTGCGGAATGCAGGTGCATCCAGTTGATGAGTCCCAAATATGACGGAATGCGCATCCTGGATTTTACTGCTAGTCACCATCCACCAATTAACTTCTTAATAAAGTTAGCCTAGCTAACCAAAGAAGAAACGTATCAGCGCTATTTTAAATGACTGGATTATTATATACTTCTTATAATATAATAGTAATTTTTGCGTTATTATTTATAGCTATCTACACCTGTATGTTATAGTGGCTCATCAGGCTTGGTAATGAAGTCATCATCTTACAAGCATTTACAGCCAATCAAAAAACTAATATAAGGTAGAACTTGACTTTAGAATAAATCATTTGTTTGCGCTTTCAGACTCAATTGGTGTTCTGTATTGATGGAATAGTACATTTAGCCTAGTGGTAGCTGATTGAGAATCCCAGTATGAACACCATTACTCATTAGGCAACATATACATCTGACTGAAAAAACCCTGACAGAATGAAACACTTGGTAGGCACAACCAACGAAGAAACTTATACTTTTCATTGCTAGTTATGTCGAATCATCTGTTGAAAAAGTGTATTTATTTAAAAACACTGTTTTTGTTCAGCGAAGAAATTTCTTTTCAACGACTTCGTTTCCAAGCTGTACAATCGTGTTTATATTACAGAAAAAGTTATTAAGTGGCACTAAATAATTGCTCAGTCAATATACGTATATAAGTGATAAGAATAACGATAATTAAAATGTTATGAGGGGTAGAGTTGAAGTGGATGGATTACAAAATTATTAAAGATTGTTTTATAAGTGAATTGATACCGAAAATATTTTCTTAAAAATTGTCAAGCGTTGTCTAAAAATTTGAAAAATTAGGATTACGATAAGAATAAAGATGTGAAGTGAAGTGGAATGAATTCAAGTGGTAAAATAAAAACTAGAAAGAACATTACTATGACCAAGGTAAAGAAAGGGGTTTGACAAAACGTTTTTGAACACATAATTTAGATTTCTGTTCATGTATAGCTAAAGCTTCGGCTATGCATACGTGAAGAAAACGTAAACTTTTGGAGCGAATCGATTTCGCCATGTAGATAACCTTGAAGGATGAATCACGTGGGGCTAAATGACCAGACTCTAACAGTTGATCACAAATAGACGGCTTTGCAGTTCCACGTTCGCCTTTCATTAACCAAACCGGACAATGTTCAACTACACGTTTTCGGAGAGTGCGCTTACAGCGTCCAGTATAGTCAGCTCCACAGGAGCAGGTAAAAGAGTAAATGCACACAGATGTGGACATAATATAAATACAACTGTACAGCTTGAAAATGAAGTCGTTGAAAAGAAATTTCTCCGCTGAACAAAAACTGTGGTTTTACTTATGAATCAATGGGTATTTATTTAAGCTGATCAATTCGGTCTAGAAATATCAACGGGAAGACACGAACGTGAATAAATAACATCCTAATTGACTGAATGAGTTGAGGACGACTTCGAACCATGTCAGCAACAGTATCCAGTCATAGGTTTGTAGTATCTTGAGGACATCAGCCAGTCAGCTTACGCCTACCTACCTGACTGAAATCAACAGCCGAACACTTCGAGGATTGAAGACAGGTTTTAATTTGACTACCCTTAGCTATTTTTCAACCTAATGTTATGTCACCTAACATTGTTTGCTGAGGAAGACATAGTCTTGACCAGGTCATCTCAATCAGTGCAGCTTCACAACCTCATGGACTGACTAGCCCTCCTTGCCTAACACTACAACTAACCTCATTATTACTTACTATATAATACCATTTAACACGAGTGATAGAAAGAAGACGTTTACGGGCAAAGACAGCCAACCTCTTTATATCCTCCACTTTCAAAACGTCACTTCACAACCGCGAAGAAAGACAGAGGAAACTGTTATGCAGTTCACACACCAAACACACTAAGATTTCTGTCAGGATGTTCACAAGATACTGTCTTAACATCGAAGGACTATATTATCTGCGTAATTCAAATCGACGAGAGGCTCTCTCCTGGTAACAACTCGATGTCTAAGTTGCTAGCATCGGTTCAGGTTACGTCCATTACAAAACTATGATGAAATTGAGTAGACCTAATAATATGCTTCTCTGCTGGACACCATCGGTCATCTTTACCTCGAGTGACAATTCTCAATAAACGCTAGCTCGGCTGCATGAGTTTGAGTAGAATGTCTTGATTAGTGCGACATATTTCCTTGGCTCTCCCCTATCGGCCAGATATTGGTACAGTTCATGTCGACTGGCGGAGTAGAATGTCGCCTTCGAGTCAATAAATATGCTGTGTTGGACACTGTTATTATTATTATATCCTTTAATTCCTAGAGGAACATAAGGCTTCAACTGCGCGTCTCCATTGCGTTTGGTTCTCTGCCAACTTTTTCACCCCGCTCCAAGTCTGCCCACATGCTTTCATCTCCTCTGCACATGACCTCCTCCAAGTCACCCTTGCACTGACGATCAACTCGCCGCTTCCCTTTCGGGTCCCACTCGAGCAATGGCTTGTCTAGTGATGTCACTTGATGGTTTCCTCAGAGTATGGCCAATCCATCTCCATTTCTTCGTGCCTATTTGTTTCACAATCGGTTCCTGCTGGGTTGGTTCGCTCCAAGAAGTCCCTATTGCTGATCCTTTCTGGCCATCTGATCTTGAGTATTGAGCGAAGACAGCTGTTAATGAAGGTCTGTAGTTTGTTTGAGATGCTCTTCATGACGCGCCAAGTCCCTGATCCGTATAGTAGCACTGACTGACTTCACATTGGAGTAGAAAATCCGGATCGTATTTTCATTTTCATGCTGAGCGCTGTTGACCTCCACACAAACTTAAGAGTAATGAAAGCTTGTCTTGCTTTTCCGATTCTGGCTTTGATATCCTCGTCAGTTCCGCCTGCATTTGAAACGATGCTTCCCAGGTAGGTGGTGAAGGAGGTTGTTTCTTTCAAGTTCCTCCCATTTATGCTGCTGATTGTTGTCTGTTGTTGTTGCTGCAGCTGTTGGCCAGGAATCTTCATCACCTCTGTTTTATCTATGTTCACCTGAAGTCCTATCTTTGATGCTTCTTCT